ATATATATTTAGTCGTAATCCAATTTTGCAAGTTCTCGAGCTCCCATGAGCGGCGTTGACTTAATACAAAGTAGTTGCTGCCGCCTCAGTTGCTGCTGCTGTTGCTGTTACAGTGGTACAGTGTTACTTGACTTTAACGTACACTTAAGTGGTCATCAGCAGGCTGCCCGTTCAGCCCTTCGAGTTGGCCAAGACGCCAGCGCCGAGTCCTTGATTCTCCTCGATATACACATTGCCCGGCTGCAGGGTCTTCAGAATCCTTCGCTCCTGATGCTTGGTATGTTTCTCCACTGCAAATGAGAAGAAAAGAGAGAGAGAGAGAGAAGGGAGTGAGCGAGAGGTTTTACACACATATGCGCTTGAGCTGTGGCCCACAAGCGTGGCTGTCAAAAACTGAGTGACAGCCGTAGGCCCCATTGTATTAAAATTCTGTGCGGGCGCGTTCTCATTTGCATTTGCCATGGAATCAATTGCGATCGCATTGGATGGGCCCATTAAACGGCTATTGTCGCCGCCAAGAGGCCGCCGCCCACGGGCTCAATGGCCAATTTATATGCAAATTGGCAAACGCCTTGACCAAAAAGGCGCAGAGAACACAAATACAAATACAGAGAATACAATCACACACACACACACTCACACAAACACATGCAGATGTGAAAAGAAATTCTTTTGCTTGTGGAATGGAATGCCATCCCGCCGCGTCTCAACCCAACCGAACCTAGTCCAGTCCAGCCCAGCCCATCCCATCCCAGCTCAGCGCAATCCCCCGCCAGGCGCAACGCACTCGAACTGGACGATCTCAAGTGGTTTGACCTTTGACACACTTACCAGGCAGCAGCACATGTTGCGGCTGAAAGAGGCTCGACTGCGCAGCGGACGCTGCCGCCGAGGCGGCCGTCATTGCCGAGGCGGGCAGTCCGCGCAGGGCATCCGCATTGCCTATGAAGAAGGTGCCACCGTCCAGGCTCTGCACCTCGGCCAGCTTGGCCATTAGCTTCGTGGACAACTCTTCCACATCTGCAGGCAGAAGAACAAGAAGAAGAGAAGGAAAATTAAGTGATGTTAGCAATTGTCAGGCAACATAAGCGACATCTGGAATTTCGTGTATGAATTTATTAAATCATTATGCTCAAGTCGGGCGTGCTCGACTGCTAGACACCTAGCATTTATATACACATATATTTGAATGAATATTTTTGATTTGATGAGCAAGAGAGTGGCTCATCGATAACTTAAAAGGATAGAATGGATTAAGATGCAGCTATATAAAGATATTATTATATATACAGATAAACTATATAGACATTCCTATAGATTTACTTTGTATATAAGCTTAACCTAAATCGATTTGGCATAGATAATGCAGTAACTAAAAGTTAGCCATAGATGTTACGTTATTTGATTCTTCTGCCAGTCGATAGAGGAATATAAATATAGGAATATAGCAACTGATGCTCCTAATTCAACAAGTCATCCATCGCTTTCTGCTTAAATATGTATTTTGAAATAATAATCGTATCGTATACTCAATGACCGCCCAAGGGCCCAATGGCAAATCATATAAATAGAAAGTCTCTATTTGTGCACTCAAGGTTTGAATGGCTTGCGGATCACGTCTCCCAATAGCCAGATATATGTGGTGTATTTTGTATTTTTTCTAGTATTTGCAAATTTTGCCAATTGCATAAAATACTGTTATGGCCTTCATAAACACGGCCATAAAGCTGTTAAAATATTTATTATATTTTCGTATTCGCACTGTCAGATCAACAATTATTACGGCCAGCCATTTATTGATCGATGCCAGGATATAGAAAGGGGGTCGCTCAGGGGCCTTTGCGGCGCATTTCCGACTTGTAAACAAGCTGCGAAGGCGTAAACGGTGGGCGTGCCCAAAAAACAGAAAACAGACAGCAGCCCAGCAGCGCAGTCAGCACAGTCAGCGCAGTCAGCGCAGTCAGCGCAGCCAGAGAGCAGATAATTTATAATTTATTTTTAAAACTTGAAGTCAACAAAAAAAAAAAAAAAAAAAAAAAAAAAAAACAAAGTGAAAAAACAAAATCGACAGTGCTCGAGGAAAAACTGAAAAGCGAACGAGAGAAATGAGAAACAGAAATATAAAATAAAAGATCAACAAGAAAATTAAGTTCCGTTGCCCAACAGACGCGACGGCTGCCTTTCGGTTCTTTGCTTTTTATTATAAACAATCCCAGCAAAAATTTTCACACAACAACAACACAAGAAGAAGAAGAGCGACGGCTATAGCAGCTACGTCGTACACAGTTTTTGAGAAAAATCAGAAAGAAAATTTTCCAATTGGAATTGGAAGAAAAGCAACAAGAATTTTACAAATTTGCGCAGTTCAATAAGGCTTAAAATTTCCAATGCGCCAAAGCAAATTAAGCACATATGGATGAGTAGTCTCTATAGATTCTGACTGGAAGAGGAAGAGGAAGACGGAGGGTAAGAGCAAGAGGCAGAGAAAGGGGAAGAGCATGGCCGACCACAGGTTCGAGTACTCCCATCTATCTGTTTACGTACGCACACATACACATACATATATGTAGATCTTGTGTGTGTGTGGTATATTGGRGAAAAGCGGCACAGTCGAATTTTCCGTGGAAACTATATGCATAAGAAGATTCTAGCAAACTGATTAGTGAAAACAGCAAATCCGAGAAAAACCAAGTGCCCAGCATAGCAGGAGAACGAGGTGGGGAGGGGGGAAGGGGACGAGTGACGGTATAGCCAGATGCGTATGATCTACAAAGTAAAATTTGTACTTCAACTATTATAGATCAATAATTGGGTGTTATAGGAAAAATCACTGCCTAAAGTCTATTTATTATTGTTTTTGCCTGATGCAACAAAGATTGGGTAATTAATTGAATGATATTGATGATTAGATGAGAATATGGTAAGAAAATAAAAATAAACTAATTTAATAAGTTATGTATGAGATCGAAAATGAGTTGGGCAGAAAGTAGATTCAAATTGTGGTATTTTTAGTATTAAATAAGATATGTTTATTTGATGTAATAAACTCTAGCAGGTCCAATGATTATATAGAGTTCATCCATAAAGATTTGGAGAAAAGAAAATTCGAGTATTCTAGCAGATATAAGAGCTATCGAATATATAGTGATCTATAAAGGATCTAGTAATAATGGATTAGTTTTTAAGAATATTGCTGAATAACTAGTTAGTTAATTATAGCAGATCTATAGACTCTATCGACTACCTGTATAAAGGGAGTAACACATAAAGTTGATAGAATATTCTAGTATTATAGTAGGCCTGATGTTAGATATAGATATATAGATAGACACTCTAGAGAGTACAGAGATCTCTAGAGCTTACCCTTCGCCTGACACTCATTCCCTCCTCATTCATTTCATTCGAATCATTCGCAAATGGCAAGCTTTTTTCTTTCAGGTGCCAAGTGAGTCGCCCTCGCTGGCTGTGCAGTGTCCGCCCTCAGTGTCGCTGCGCGGCGCTGCGCTGCTCGGGGCAAGACGGGCACGGCATCGCTATTTTTGGAGTGGCCGTAGAATGCAGGGAACGAAGATCGGCTGCAGTTGTACGATCTGCATTTGCTCAGCTGGCGCATTGAGCGAATTTATGGCCTGCCGCACATATCCAAGTTGAAGGAAGCACTAAGCGCGTGCCAAACGCATGCGAATGCAAATAGCAGAAATGCCAACTGAGTTGAAGAGAGGGACAAAGAGGGAGAGTGAGAGAGAGGGAGAGAGAGGCTGAGATAGGGAGTGGTATAGAGAGTGGGAGCAATTGTCAATTGAGCGCTTGAGTGCGCCCAGTCACACCTTTCGCGGCCACCGAAGGAGTCGAACAACTTCCTGTACAACTCGAGCCAGCTGGTCCAATATTTAATCAACATACGGATCGAAGTATTCGCCAACTATTTATAGATGTGTGACGAGTGCGACGGAAGTGACAGAATCCAATGAGAAGTGCAAAGGCAAATGCCGCGCCTGGAGCCATTCGAGCGCAGTTGACAAAGATCTGTTACATAAAGATGCAGTTGTTGTTGCTACTGTTGTTGTTGTTGTTGGTGGTGGTGGTGGTGGTGGTGCAGTGGCATTTCCTGCCCCTCGTTTGTTTTATGGCCCTCGACTGGCTGTGACATGATTTTGGAATTTGATTACATCGCCACGGAAGTGATTCAACTCTGCGGTCTACAAACATCCGCTTGTCCTTGAGCTAGACACAAATGCACGCAGACAGAGGATGGCGGGACGGTGTGGGGGCCTTTACTCTTCCGTTGTACGTGTCTTTTACCTGTCTACAAGCTATGTCTCTCTCTCTTTCCCCTCCCTTGTGTGTGTGTGTAGGTTTGCTTCCGGTCCTGGATTAAGTCTGGCTAGAGTTGATATTTGAAATCTCAATGGTTGCACTTGGTAACACGCTCAACTCATGATCCTAGGCAAGTGTTTTTTTTTTTTTTTTCTTGTTTTCTTGCCATTGTTGTTGTTAGTTGGCTGTTTGCGTTACGTATCGTTTCGTTGGTGGCTTCATAAATTTTTCACACTGGACATGCCTGCACTCTCTGGCTCACTCAGAGCGCAGCGTGGGCTGACGGCAACGTCGGCGCTGACGTCGCCGTCACCGCTGACGTCGCCGTCGACACGCGCTGAATTATGATTACAAGAAGAAAAACAAGACGGGAGCCTATCAAAGCAAGGCATAAATTTTCACGTTGGCCCCGCAGACACGGCCCGTGGGTGGATGGGCGCGAAAAGCGTGGAAAATGCACGCTCTTTAACAATGTTGTTGTTGCTGTTGCTGTTGCTGTTGCTGTTGTTGTTTTTCTATGCCTCCTTATTATTGTTGCGCATCGAACAACATGTGTCTACACACTCGCAATGCCAGCCGAAATGATATATGCCCGCTTAGATAAACACATAGATAGACTCTAGACTTTCAGATTGCTGCGGCCTGTGAGCTGTGAGCTGTGAGCTGTGAGTTGTGCCAAGTGGAAATATTCCAAATTCACTTTGAATATCGAATTGCAGTCACAGGCAGCAGTACAAGTTCATGTCAGATTTAACATGCAGCTAAACACTTAAATCTAAGCAATCTAAAAAGATCTTGTAAGAGATTTCATTTGGCACCTTAAACAACTAGCGAGTTGACTATGAAAAGTGATTTTTACAACACTACAGACTAGTCTGGCTGTAGAGCCAACAACTTTTTGTTGAACTAAAAAAAGTTTAAATATGAAATATAAATTTAATTTAA